TTTGCTCCAATCATTCTATTAGCTCTACACCATCTTCATATTCGTCAAATACATAGTTCGCGCCATTTTGAACACTTTCACTGGGTTTGTCTAAAAAATAAATTTAAGAAAAATAAAGATAAATGACACATCGAATCCATAGTTGGTAAATATAAAGATAAGTGTTGCCTCAACAATAAAGAAATGATTTTTATATGAGACGTGCGTGTAACCGCATGGGTTTCAGTTGACTGTAGTCAACTGGAAAATAGCGGGTTTCGAGCGCCTACCCACACTCAACTAAAACCCGAAATAATGCATGACGCGCATGCGCATCACCTATTAAAAGAGAATAACAAGGAAGGAAATCTAACCTCCGAATAGTGAATACATGGAATGACTGAAAAATGAAAAGGTGATTTTCGAAGCAGATAAAATGAGCCAAAATCGTATAATTGCTGATAGTGATGAAGAGTTAGGCAGTGAGGAGGATTTATTTACTGATGAGGAGGAGTTGATTGGTGATGTGACATTTGAAGAAAATGGAAATTAAATATTCTCCAATGAAACAGCAGCAGGATCGCCAAAAACTCCTTCTTCGATCAAATACTGTAACTTAACGGCTTTATTGAATTCTAATGATCAAAATAATGTCAAGGAAACAGAGAAAAATTATTTTTGCTTTTCAGAGACATGTCACTTAATTCACCGAAACTTCACTACAATTTGTTGATTGATTTCTAGAAATTAGTAATAAGTCATTGCGAATTCAATAACGAAAATGAAATTTTTCAATCACACTTTTTTATAATTACTTTTTTAAATAAATGTGATCTTTTTTCTTCAGTGGGGGGGCTTCGACCCCTGGACCCCCCTTTTTTCGTGGGGGGCTTCGCCCCCCTCTCCACCCCCAAACTTCATCACGCACTCATCATATAAAATCATATACGGAACACGTGCGGACAGCCTGCTTTCCGCACTAGTTGCGTAATGTACTATTTCGTACTAACGTACCTTGTTGTAGTAACTCTGAAGCCAGTTGTTCACTTTGAATATTATTGTCATGCCAGTTGCCGGTGTCGATGATTATATGCAAAAGTACATTCTGTCCTTGTTTTCGGTGGACATTCAGCGAAGTTCTCAGTTCTTCATTTTTCATATCGTCAACTTTTTTCTGATGAGCAATATCGAAAAGTTCATTCAAAGTGCATTGGAAATCGGCCAGTTTCACTTGATAATTGATATAATTTCTCGTCACGGCACTGTATTTGAGCATGGTTTTATATTTTACAACTAATTTATCCATTCTGTCCATAGCATGACACTGATAAATGGAATATCCGCATAATTCCAGAACAAAGCACATTTTTGCACAACATACTTCGAAGCTTGGCGACCAGTAAGTTTTGGGTTACTATGTCGCGTGTAATAAAAATAACATGTCAGCATTTGACTATTAGTCGGTAATTGATTGCCAGAAATTTCTGGCGTTGCGTTACCAACCAATGGAATTTCCGTGAATTGTCGCGTTGTCGGCATTTTCACTGTTTTTCTCTATTAATGAAGAAAAAAATCACTAGCTTTGCGATGTTCACACTTCGGAAGTTTTTGTTCAACTAATTTCGGATCGTGGCTAATACGAGAAAATTTCCAGGCCTTCAGATGATTTTTGCGCGTTGACCAACCATAAATGACAATCATAAAATCATAAACTGCTGATGAATTTTTAAATTTAACAACATAATTGCAACTATTCTATTGATCAAGACTCTGAAGACGAAACAAAAACAGAAATTCATTAAAAATAATCTCATAAACAACTAAAATTCTCTCTAACATTTCAACTGAGGTATAACCAGGGTCGCTAGGGTCGTAGACTTCTATTGTGTCGTTTTTGAAAAGTCTGACGCGACTCGGGACATTTTCTACCTGGAAGCGAGGTACCATAAAGTAATATGACTTTTCACCAAGGTCGATAATCACCAATTGCTAGTAGGTCAAATATTTTCAGTGAAATTTCAAACCGTGGTTGCTGATAGTAGGAATGTGGTAAAAAATCGGAAAAAATTCACATCATTTCTCCATAAGGTCTTCTATCATTTTTTCGATTGGAGAAAGTAGAATTTGCAAATTTTTATAAAATGAGCCACCCTAATATTCATAGATCATTAATAACCACAAAATGACACTAGAATTACTATTGAAAGCTTCGCTCATGTTCCTGTTGTATCAAGCATGGATTATAGTGGAAACAATTTCATAGTTTCCGGAAGACTAATATTTGTATTTTTCAATAAGCCACTGACTAGGGTCAATTATAGGCTTGCTTCTAATGGATCGGAAATTTTCGTCATCTATTCAAAACAAATTGAGGCGTAGATGATTGTAGTAGTAATTTTTTCATTTGTAGTCGCGCGTTCACTTCAGGGCTCTTGTTTGAACTACCTGAAACACAAAATTCATCGGTGGAGCGTAAATGGAAATTCTGCAGCAAATACAAAAAACTACAAACCATTACGAGTCAGAATATCATGTATCCGGCGAAACACCGATAAATTTTGTCCTTAAGGGAGTTCAAACATGAATCCTGGAGTGACCGCGCGACTACAAATAAAAAAATCACTACTACAATTATCTACGCATCAACCTACTTCGCATACATGGTAAAAATTTTGAATCGATTAGAATCAAGTCTGTAGTTGACTCTGGTCAGTGACTTATTGAAAAATAAAAGTATTAGTCTTCTGGAAACTTAAATTTTTTCACTACAATCCACGGCATTCTGTTCTTGATACAGTGGGAATATGAGCGAAGCACTCAATAGTAATTTTAGCGTCATTCTGGAGTTATTGATGATCTAGGAATATTGCTAATGGAAATGAAAATTTTGCAGCAACTACATAAAACTACAAACCATTTTACCACAGAACATCATGAGCCCGGTCATCCATCCATGAATTTTATCCTTGAGGTAGTTCAAACATGCGTCCTGAAATGACCGCGCAGCTACAAATCAAAAAATTACTACTACAATCATCTACACGTCAATTTGCTTTGAATAGATAGTAAAAATTTCCAATCCATTAAAATCAAGGCTGTAGTTGACCCTGGTAACTTATTGAAAAATAAAAATATTAGTCTTCCCAAAACTATGGCAATTTTTTTCACTACAATCTACAATCTACTACATTCACACATTCTACTATACATTATATTACATGAGCGAAGCTCTTAATAGTAATTCTAGCGTCATTCTGGGATTATTGGCTATCCATGAATATTTCTAATGTGAATGGAAGTTCTTCAGCAACTACAAAAAACTACAAACTATTTCGAGTCAGAACATCATCTATCCGGCGTTTCACCGACGAATTTGATCCTTAAGGTCGTTCAAACATGAATCCTGAAGTGACTGCGCGACTACAAATCAAAAATTACTACTATATTCATCTATGCGTCAATTTGCTTTGAATGGATGATAAAAATTTTCCAATCCATTAGAATTAAGCCTGTAGTTGACCCTGGTCAGTGACTTACTTTAAAATGAAAATATTAGTGCTCCGGAAACTATGTATATTTTGTCAGGAGAATCAATTACACAGACACAATATTCATTCCTCTTATTGTAAAGGAATGAGCCAAATCAATTGTGACTTCTATCATCTACCATATCCATATATGTAACATGTAATACGAGGCATTTTAATTAATAAAGATTAAGGTTTCATGCCGTTGCCTATCTTTAGTGGACCACTGATAAAAAAAAATTTTCCCATCACGCTGTGTGCGCAATGCGCAAAATGTCACTTTACACACAGCTTGATGAACAGCGTTTAAAACTCATGGGAAAAGTGCACTTTGACCCGTGGGTAGCACTCGCCTTCAGCAAGCAAAAACCACTTTTCCTCACTCGTGTCGAAGTATATTATTTCGATACGGCTGCTACGTTCACCTCGTGTCGAACTGAAAATTGTTTTCGCTACAATCAACTACATTCCATTCTTGATACGGTGGGAACACGAGCGAAGCTCTCACCAGTAATTCTATTGTCACTCTGGGGTTATTGATGATCTATGAATATTTTTAACGTAAATGAAAATTTTGCTGCAACTACAATAAACTACAGATCATTCCGATGTAGAATATCATGTCTCCGGCGGTCTATCGATTAATTTTGTCCTTAAGGTATTTAAAAAAAAAATTCTGGAGTAACGGTTCGTCTACAAACGAAAACATTTATACTACAATCATCTACGCGTCCATCTGCTTCGAATGCACAGTCAAAATTTTCAATCGGTCAATGTCGGGTGCCAACTTCACACAGCTCTCGCGAAACTGTAATAAACAAAAACGTTGTAGGTAATTTGTCTCCTCATGGAGTACAAGAGCGTTGATATCTCATTAACAGTTACCTGCAGGAAAAAAAAATCAAAACATTAATGATATGTAAAATTTCATGATAAACATCTTTCATTTCAATTATTTTTCTCTATCTCCATCGAGTTAGCCGATAAACGCATCGGAGCATACCGCGACCTCATGCAAGTGCTAACGCGCCGTAACCACAGATAACTTTTTATTTATCATAGTTAGGAGAAAAAGTTATAAAATTAGAAATATGTATTTTCACAGATCAAACATCTTTTGTTTGAAGCATTTTTCCCCATCTTGTAAAAAATTTAATTGTTCATAACTTTTGTTTGCATCGGTTCTCGCCGGAACGACCTTCAAATTCGGATTCTACGCCCGAAAAAAACATCGAAAAACATCAAGTCGACCAGTAACCCGAAAAATGTACCTCAAATGGTATCTAGCGAATGGACTACAACTGTCAAGCTCGTCCTCTCAAAATATCTGGTCCCCCCCCTCAATCCCGTGTGGACTCTCCCTTTTGAATCGCCCAGTACCACCAACACCCCAAACACTTAACCGCCAGTGCTGCCACGCCGTCATTCCTCCTAACCTCGACACCGGCCGCTCGCTAGCGAATTGAGCGCCGCAGTCGCGCGCTTGCACTCTAAGCGGTTGGCGGATGCTGAGTCCCAACGTAACGTCGAATGTCCAAGCAATTTGTTCAATTCCACGATAATTAACTCCAACCACCACGGAAAAATATCCATTAAACAATCATCAAGCTTCACGTGACACAACTGACAAATGTTCACCGAGTTAACCTCAAAAACGTGCAGAAAAATAATAATTGACATGTGAAAAAATTACGTTTGTATATATTACACAGAACCGTCAAATATTCATTATCGAGTGTGCATTCCCTCTCTCGTGCCTGTGCGAGGGGCTGTATGTACTGCGCTTGCGTCTGTTTTCAATGCCTCATGTTGTGTGTGTGCAGACCCCCGGGGAGTCAAAACCGTGAAAACGAGTGAGACAGATGTAATGACGTTCGAATATTGGAGTGAGATATCGGTATTATCACACGTTTCATCGAGTCAATGCACGTTAATGTATATCAAAATGCTCAGGAGAGTTATGCGCTGAGGATTTACTTTTCTCTCGGATTTGCTTTTGTTTTTGATATTGGTTTTTTCGTCGGGGCCATTGCGAAGTGACGTGCACGTGTGTAGTGTTTCAGTGTTTGACTCGCTGGATTTCTGGGAGTTTTTTTTGTTTATGATCGTGAGGAGGTGGGTTTACTTGTGGGGGTGGAGAAGCGAGGAACGCACTTTTTGTGAGTATTGTTTGTTCATTTTTTTAGGTTGTTTTTTTGGTTTTCGGGTGGAGGGCTCTTGGGAAAGGGCGGTTTTGCGTCGTTCGGGGAGAGGACATCTTGTGACGACGGTTTGGGGGGGGGGGCGGGGGGGGGAA